GCAATGAGTATGGATCTGAAAAAATTTCTTTATGGAATATTGAAAAACTGTGCAAAGCCACGTTGCTTCAAGAATATCAACATGAACAACTTATATTATCGCTATCGTGCAAACAATAGAGCATGGATGCCAAATGTACTTTTTGATGAATATATTCATTGGTTTGACCACAAAATATATGGTAGACAAATTTTGCTTGTGGTAGATATTTGTCCACTACATCCACGAAATATTAAAGGACTACAAAATGTTGAATTGCTTTTCTTGCCACCCAACATGACATCAAAAATTCAACCTTGTGATGCTGGGATAATAAGAGCTTTCAAGATGCATTAGCGCAGTAGATTTTACTATAGGATATTAGAAGGCTATGAGCTGGGGCAAACTGATCCAAAAAAGATTAATGTTTTGAATGCTATCAATCTTGCGATAACGGCTTGGACGACAAATGTTCAGCAAGAGACAATAGCAAATTATTTTCGACATTGCAAAGGGGATGAAGCCTCAAGGAATTTAAATGAACCCACTTGTAAAAATGACATTCATCAACTTGAGGTCATGATTAATGATCTCAGTTACCGCAATAAAATGGATGCCAATAACCTGTTGGATTACCCGGATAAAAATGATACATGCATGTTCAGAGGTCCAGAGCTTAGAAGAAATTGTGGATGTCATCGGAGAAAACAATGTTGATGATGAAGTTGAAGACGATATAATACCTTTGGAACCAGTTACGCGTAAGAAAGCACTTATCGCGTCTAGAACTCTTCATAATTTTTTGTGCATTCGAGAAGACAATACCGGAACTTTTGGATGCAATAAGAAAAGTTAAAGATGAGCTTTAACTAGATTTAAATTTAATAAAAACAAAAAAACACTATAATCATATTTCACTAAATTGCCTTTTATATTTTTGTAATTTTAAAGAATTATTAATTTATAATATTAATAGGATCATATATTTATATAGGGGTCTTCCGAAAATATATTATTTTATCGAAATTGATGATTTTTTTCACGATCCATGTTGAGACCGGAGAAATATTATCTTAGATAATTTATTAATTTACCGAGTATTAATTTAGAAAAATTCTAATGTAGTTGATGGGTGATTTGGGTGCACATCCTTCTCCTACTTTGATGCTGATTTTTCTTCCCATAAGTCATTATCAAGAAATGGAGCATCTTTTGGCTCTAGTAGATATCTGTTAATTAAGTGACGCACTTCATTTTCTTTTCAATTTTAAATTTCCCTTTTTCTTCTTCTTTTTACTAAAATAATATATCTACCAAACGAATTGGTCATTAAAAATCCATCACAAAAATAATTGTTCCATTATCCACTTGAACATTGGAGATAATTTGAAATATATCCCTCTCCTTCCATTTGCGTGATAGTTAAAGAAAAAAGAGATTCCCACGTCTTTAATAATTGGTCCCATACTATAATATCTCCTAAGGTTCTATTCAGTTGGTCTAGAATTGATGTCATTCCTTACCCACCCTACCCCACACTCCAAATAAATGGATTCCAGAAAATCATAATAGGTTAATAATAAATTTTAAGTTCTACATACTAGTAATTAATAATCCAAAGATTATCTATGCAGTTCTAGCATGGTTGGCTAAGTTTTCAAAATCATTTTATATAAAAATAATTGTGAAAATATTTTACAAAAAAATATTTTTGGAGAATAACAGTATGTGTTTGCTCATCCAACCTACCCACCCTCCAACTAAACGAAATCTAGAACATAATAACATGTTAACTATCGAGTTTATGTTACGAAAAATATCTACTAAATAAAATCACTTAATAATTAATAGCGAACTATAACTCTATATCATAAGTATTTGACTAGTAATTTGAAAATTAGCTAATACTGATTACTTGCCGGCTATGACCAGGGGCGGATGATAGTTACGGGTTCAACTGAACCCGTAACTTTTGACACGAAATAAAAATTTTGGTATAACAATTCATTAAAATTATAAAAATAATAATTATGAACCCATAAATTTAAAAATAAAACTGGATTAATATAAAAAAAAATTAAATTTGAACCCATAAAGTTTAAATACTGAATCCACCTCTGACTTAAATTATGCTGATAGTAAAAATTTAATGTTATTATCGTATGTAACTTAAATTCTAAAAAAATTGACAATAAAAACAATAATAATTGTAAGTTAGTAACAAATATTAACTATGTCAACATAAGCAAAAACAGAAATTGTTGTTTGGAGGATTCTTTGTGTTTATCTTATCCACTGCTAATATCTAGTCTAATGCTTAGCCTTTAAATGTAAATCCTCATAATTTGCAACCTCTAAGCATATGGCTAACAAAAATTTGAGAGTTATATAGTATTTGACAAAATAACAATTGAGAAAAAAAATTCACTTGTGAAAAGTAAATTACTGATCCTCTATTATTTTCATCAAATAATATCACTAATTAAACATCAAGTAACCTCAAACCATCAAGAGTTGTGATATAATCGATAAAATTATTCCACCGAATTGAAACAAAATAATATCGAGCTAACTGCAATATTATCAGTGGTATTGAAGAATCAATGGTGTTAAAGACATAATTAAGTAAATAAAAATGTGTTCTCTCTGACAACATAAGTTTTTAGATGAGATGGTCACATACTTCAATATTGTAGCAGAGCAAGTTGAAATCTTGAATTTGAGTCTCCCCGCCACCGAATATTTTTTAAAAAAAAAGGTTCACGTGCTTGGCTCATAAAAAAGAATTAAACTCGCACGCGCGGCATAATAATATGAGTTTGCAACTTTGAGGCATAATAATCCGATCCAAAATCCGAAAATTTGATCCGATCCAAACTTTAAAATTCGATCCATTATTAATTCGGATCGGATTGCATTTTCTAGAATTCGAAATTCGAAATGTGCTAAATCCGATCCGGTCCGATCCAAGTAGAACCCTACGCGCGGGTGTGTTGAGACATAATTAAGTTAAACATTTCTTTTTGGAGGTCACGTTAATTATTGTTTATCTTATCCATTACTAATTTCTGGTGCATGATAATTGATACGTGGTGAGTAAGCAATGCCTATTACAATAAGTGGAGAGCTATGAAAACAACATTAAAGTAAAGATAAAGGCCACTTATAAAAACTACTTTAAAATTACACAAATGTTTAAGTCATTTTAAAGCTACATTATTTATTTCTTACTCTTTTAAATAATGGAAGGAGAAAAACGATATCTTAGCATTAAAATATCATAATATATCATGAGTAGTAAAGCTAAAGAAAAATAGGATAAAACATTTTCAGTACATAGGTCGGGTTGCTTCGGATTTTATAATTACCAAACCAAACCAATTATATCGGGTTATTAAATCTAAAGACCAAACCAAACCAATAAAACTCGGGTTTTTTCGGGTTTTCGGGTTATTCAGGTTTTTTCGGGGGTTTTTTTCCGGTAAAATCTCCGTAGAACAAAACATACAAATTGTGCTCAAAATATTTCTTTAATCTTAGTAAGATACAACTATATAAAGTATTTTTCAGAAAATAATATAAAATATGAGATGTGTCATGGCATTATCCTAAAATATTCAAGAATAAAGACAATAAAATTATGTAATATAAATATTGCTAATTAAAAAATTATAATAAAAATAAACATAATCTAAAAGTACTAAGTCATGCTAAAATAAGTAGACTAATAAGGGAGTATTAATTACATGACTAAACGCTAAAGAAAAAATAAAAATAGGTTTTGCATTTTTATCTAAATTATTGCAAACAAAAAATAGATATTCAATACATTCCCGCTCGTAGTATTGAATTGAATGTCTTTTGTTAGCATTAGTATTGATTTGATTTGGTTTGAGCTTTTGTTAGCATTATTTAATTTACTAATGTTAATGACTATAAAACTTATTGGAACATTCAAAAGTTCTAAGTCCAACTTTGAAATAATATCTTAAAAATAAAATTATAAAAAAATTTAAAGAAATATTTATAAATTAAGTCACAATAAGTATATTTATATATTAAATATATCTAAAATTTCTATATATGTAATGTCGGGTTGATTTGGCTTCTGTTTGACTTTTTTTAGTAAAAACCAAACCAAATCAATTATGGTCAGATTTTATTTCCAACACCAAACCAAATCAAACCAAACCATAATCGAATTTTTTTTCTCAATTTGACTCGGATTATCGGGTTGGTACGATTTATCGATTTCCTTTGTACACCCCTATTCAAAACCATTGCATAACGATTTTACTTGACTTTCCAATTTCTCATTGCTAACGAAAAAAAAAAAAAGAGTTTAAGCATTTGGACATAAGAATTTTGATATTCAGGAAAAAAGTTAAAAAAAAAAATTCAAGTAAAAATAATATTAAAAATTAGAGTTATATTTAAATATAAAAATAATTTAAAGCTATTTTGAATTTTTTGAGTAATTTGAATTGAAATTTTGAAAAGAAACTTTTTCAGAATTTTTTAAAATTCTGAAATTCAACTTTAAGTGAAATTTAAAAATTTTATAGTCAAATAGTAATTCTGTAAATACAAATAAATAAAGTAAAAAAAAATTTATGGCCAAACGAGCCTTTACAATTATTACCCTTGGTACGTGCCCTTTTCCTACTTAATAGTAAAAAATAGTAGAACATTCCTTTTCCGAGGTCATTGAATTATTTTGCCGAATTCCTACGACATAAAAGGTAGCAACAAAGGATTCCTCACTTACGCAAGGTCCAATAAAGACTGCACCCCAAGTGTTTATGATATAAATCGTTTATCCTATTAAAATATTAATAATTACTTCTATAATTCGAACATATAGCTTATAAGGTCACACGGAGATATTTTATCATTTCGAGTTCCTTCGACATGATTCTCAATAATTTTTTATATTATCAATTATTTTAACTTGTTATAACATAAACAAATTAACGACTAATTAGTTAAGCTCGTATCTTGTACGATGTAATTAGTGAAGAGAAGAGAAGAGAGAAAGTTCCTTGCAATATCAAAAACTATACATATTTTAAGAGGGGAAAAAGAGAAAACCATATATTCTTCCATTTATCCACTCAAAATTACAATATTTTAAGTAGATTCAACTGATTTGGGAGATATATTATTGTGCTTATTAACAGGCATGGATTTTGATCTCTTGAACCATTCACTTGCTGTGTTACCAGAAGTTGGAGTACGGTGATACCTGCACCTGATATTAAGAAATTCAATATATATATCTCATATTAGAAATTTCATATGGGAAAAAGTTTAAAAGAAAAAAAAAACAGAAGAAAGCTCGAGACGTGATATTATCACTGTCTCATATTAATTACTCCCTCAATTTCATTTTATATAATCTTATTTGACTTAATACGAGATTCTTTTAAAAAAGAATTTTTTAAGACTTCTGATTTTAAACGTGACTTAATATTTGCGTGGTTATAAAATTTTGCACTATTAAAAAGTATGAATTAGCTATGGACAAATTATATAGCTAAATGAAAAATTTGTCGCTAATTCTATTTAGTAGCAGATTAGCAGCAGACTATCAAGAGATTTTGTTAGGTACGAGTGATTTAGCAACAGATTAGCGATAAAGTTTGACTGTATTCAATTTTTTTAGTGTTTAAAACTTATGATATTAAACGTGTCATAGTACAATCAAACCTCTTTATAAGAGCCTCGTTTTTTGATAATAAAGTGCTATGATAGTAAAGTATTGTTATAGATGAAATATATTATAACATAATATAAAAATCAATTTCCGAAAAAAATTAACTTTTACAGTGAATATCTGCTATATAAGGATATTATTATAGAATTGTTTGACTGAATAACTATAACCTATAAGTCATTAAAAGTAAGATAAACAATACCTGAACGATCCTTTATGGTTCGTCGGCGAGCACAGGCACTGGCCTTTCGGCGAGTTCGCCGGCAATGAATCGCCGTTGGCGCAGTTATCAGAAGTGGAGACGGTGATAGTCTTATGGGAAGCCATATTTTTCTCTGAGAAAAAAGAAGAAGAAAGAAGAGGAGAAAATTAAAAGGTTCTCTGGTTGAAGAAAGACAGATGTCAAGAGTTCACAGTATTTATAGGACAATAATTGGAGATTTATCCTCAAGCAAGTGTGATTATGTGAGGTAGGAAAGTAATCAGCATTATCAAGTAGTTTATTTATGTTTGAATTAAAACAACAATAATATACACAATTTAGTTTAATTTTACGAGTGAGATCCGGAAAGAGTAGTATGTACATAGACTTTATCTCTATCTGGTAAATAGAGGCGAAAATATATGTGGTCAAGGGTAATCAACTGAACACCTTTCGTTGAAAAATTATACCCTGTATAGGATAAATATTACTTGTTATTGGACAAAAATAGACTTTGAACACTCTTGTTGGTTGAACACCCTTATTGAATTTTCTGATTTTGCTACTGCTTGTGAATGTAGAGAGATTGTTTTTTATATAGCCTCAACTCAAAAAAAGCATAATTACAGCAGTTTAGAAAAGAAGTACGATAGTAAAGAAGCTATGTAAACAGTAATAATAACAAGATAATAAGAAATCGAACAAAAATAAATATTAGGTAGTACTAAAAATCTAAAAATGATGAAATATAAGAAAGGAAACACGCTCAATTACCTGCTAACTTTTTACCCTAATTTTCGACCTTCATACCTTCCTATGAAGAGTTATATACATTAATTATGATTTATATACTTTAATTAATTGTGGATTTTTTTTTTGTATACAGTGAGCGTAAATTAATCTGTTTAAGGTTAAATATCTTATTTTTTAAGTTGCTATTTTACAAATCATGAGTAGTTATCTATTTATTCTTAGACCACTTGATACTGTCTAAAAGTTAGGCACTTCATTTAATTTTTGTATATCTTTTTTCTTTTCCTTTTCCTTTTCCATACGAGTACGATTTTTTTTTTTCTTTCTTCACTTTTTTGTCATCACTAGTTTTTAGACTAAAAATCAAAATAAGTGAAACATGCCGTCCCCACTTTCAGATACTTTGAATATTAGACAAGGCATGGAATTAATCATTACAAACGTTTCATAGTTGTATTATTTTTTTTTAGGTTTGGTTTTTGGCATGGTTTTAAGTTTACATAGGTTTGTATCTCCATCATTATTTGATTTGAAAGAAATGGTGTAGCATAATTATTTCAATAGAATAAAATGGTCCTACAAAATTATTTACTTATCGTTTATATATTATCAATCTCTTATGTTTTAATATTTCATGTGAATAAAATAGTTTATAATTCGAAAAATATTTGTAATGAATCGTAAAACTAATGAACACATTTGTTAGTTGAAATTTTAAAATCAAACAAATGAACTGGACTCGAATGTAGGTGTTCGATCGCGTAATGTATATATACATCTATTCTCTTTAAAGTTTAAACTTTTAAACTAGATAAATACTTAAATCAATATGGTATTAGAACAGCGGGTTGATATTTTTAAAATAATCTTGCTTGTTATAAAAAAAATCCCCCTGACACAAATTTAAAATATATAAATAACAAATATATTTTCTGTATAATCGTGACATAATTATAAAAATTTAATATTCCCTTATATTTGGGGGAGTTGGACGATCGTTCCGCTCTTTATGACTTTCTTTATTTTTTTCGTTAAAATAAATACAACTTAAAAAAGCTGTTAGAAATTTAAACTGACTGTGTTCTTGCTAGATCCCAAGTCTCTAAGTGGGCCCTCTTGGCCACCTATGACCTTGGCTTTTTAAAGAATCCCACACCTATATCGTAGGACTTTCCTCACTGGATGAGTTTGTTTCTTCTTTCAGTTTCGAGTGTCTTCTTGGATAATTATAACGGCCGATCCTTCATTATTTTGAATTGAGACTCAGCCCGGCTTGTGTTATTCCAACAACCGGCGGGAAGCACCTCAGTATGTGATAGAAATTGGTAAATCAGAGGAATGGACAGATGGCAGAGGGTCCTTATCTGGACCATTTTCCTACCTAGATGGTCGTGACTTTTTGGTTATGGGCTCTATTTTCAATGAAGAATATGGACGATTGGGCCACAGGCCCATACTCATCTACTGTTGCCACGTCCTGCAACTCTGCTACTCTAAAAAAGTAAAGACAATTTAATGCTCTTATCCAAATCAATCTGCTAAGTTTATCCTCACAAAACCAAGAAAACATTATGTGCAAATTCATATTTTCATTATCACTATACTGTACAGGCGTTAGCCAATGGGCAAGTTAAAAATATACAAAAAAAAAAGTATAAAATATATATATTATACATTAATATACAAATAATATATACTTTGCCAACTATTATTTATGAGAACGGCTATATTCTGTAGTTTACTTTTGCTTCAACTATACGAACAGCGTTAGACCAATAAAGCCATCAAACTAAAAATTTAGAATCATCACACTTCCGGAAGAATAGTGGGTAACTAAAAGATTTAGCACATGACGATCGTTATAAATTTATGGAGGGGCGACCCAATAAATTTTGTGACCTAAAGCCAAATTTTATAAGAGGCTTTAATTTTTTTTTAATTTTTTATTATTATTTATTTGAAGTCTTCTTTTTTTGATACAAAGTTATTAATAATTTTCTTAGAATCAATAACTCCTAATAAGTATTTTTCAATTGACAATATAGCTAATCCATTTAACCTTTCTTGTGATACTGTTGTTCTTAGCTAAGATTTTATCAATTTTAATTTTGCAAACTACTTTCGTTGAAGCAACGGTAACATGAGTTACTAACATTATTACATAATTAATTTAGGCATTTGGAAAAGAATTAAATCTTTTTATTTGATCAAATATATCAATTAAACTGCTATCTTCTAATTGTACTATTTTTCTTAATACTTTTAATTAATAAAATAAATCTAAACCATCAATATCGAATTGATTATTATACTTTAAGGAACATTCAAGATTAAGACAATATTTTTTTAAAATTTCAACATCTAGTGAACTTAGCTTTTACTGCCAAATAAAAAATCAAAAATATTTTCATATGCTTCAAATTGTTCAAATCTATTTTGAAGGGGAAAAATAGCCTTGTCTATTATATATAAAAGTAATCAACTCTAAAGGACTCTTCGAAAGATTTTGAGATTTCATTATCAACATTCGCATCAAATTGTTACTTCTTATATATCACATGTTTCTTACGAAATTCGGGTTCGATATTCATTTCAAGTGCAATTTCCTTGGTAGAAATCATAGCAGTTGCAAATCCTTTTTCTCTATATTTGTTAAAGAAAGAAATTAAACTTTTTTTTTTACATAACTCTTTTTTAAACTTATACATAATATATTAGGTGTAACAAAAAATATAACCCCCATAAATATGGGGCCTAAAACGGTTATTTTATTTGCTTTATGTCAGGGCCGCCCCTCAATTCACGAATAGAAAAGGTAATAATGTACCCTATCTCATAACGAATAATTAGCTAAGTGAATACTTTTGCATCTTGTTTTAGTCTTTTAGACGTACCTTTTTGCAAAACCTTATGGCACTCTTTAACTTTCAGATTTATTTTAAAGTTTCTCCATTTTTTGTTCCCGTTTGGATGTGGATCTCTGAGTTCTGCGTAGTCTTGCTCTATTTGTTTCTTGATGAGCATGTAATTGTCTGATTCTATTTTTAGCCAGAGATTATTTATTTAGAATATTAGATTATAATTTACAATCTTCATTCTGCCTCTCAAATTATATTCACATTTAAGCTTTAATTTTCTTTTGAATAATCTGTTTGATTTTGAAGATTTGGATTTCTTTGTGATTCTGTCGCACATGTGATTATTTGTAAAACATAGGGGTGTCAAATGGGCGGGTTGGGTCAATTTTGGGCGGGTTAAAATGGGTTGAGTTAATAATTGGGCGGGACTTGAGCTAAGATGGGTTGGGTCAAGATGGGTTAAAATTCGGGTCATAACCCAACCCGTCCTACTCTTATTAAACTTTAATTAATATGTGTTATTATCTTATAAATTGTATAATTACTAAATAGGGCTTTTTGCTTTTGTTATGGTCATATTTAAAATATTAAACAAAAAATAAAATTATTTCTAAGATATTTTGAAAAACTTGTTCATGGATCAATTTGGACTAAAAATTAGCCCAACTTTAATTGGGTTGAGATGAGTTGGATTAAGATGGGCTAAGTTCAATAAATGGGCGGGTCAATAACCAACCCAACCTTGGGCGAGTTGGGCGTGTCATTTGGGCTCGGGCCAAATTTGACAGCGCTAGTAAAACACCTCTTTGAAATTTTCTGTTCGATGCCCTAACTGCTACAACACTGGCCACAGGGAGTTGCTGATGAAACAAAAATATTGATACCAAGGGAAGAACAACTGCTATAACACTAGCCACAAGGAGTTGCCGCTGAAACAAAAATATTGATAGCAAGGGAAGAACATTGATGTAACTAGTGTGTTTGATGGAAATTCCTCAGTGAAAAAAAGATAGTTCCAGTAAGTTTGTTAATGTCTCGACCCAAAATGTCTCCGAAGAAGTCGTGATGACACCTAATCTCTAAAACTAGATAAGCCTAACATTAACAGGAATAACGATAATATTTACTAACTTCAAACAATTTCGAAATAGAAATTTTTGTACAATTTACAAACCCAAAATCGATAGTACAAGTCATAAGCCTTTTTAAGAGTAGTTATACATAATGAATATATCACTGTTCCAGAACAAAAGAAAACAATGTAAATAAATACAATAGAAGGCGATTCTGAGACCTGCGAACGTAGCAGCAGGTTTACCTTGAGTCTCCACAGCCACTAACGATCAAATACCTGGATCTGTACAAAAATATACAGAAGTGTAGAATGAGCACACCACAACGGTGCCCAGTAAATATTAAAGCTAATCTCGGTGGAGTAGTGACGAGGAATAGTCAAGACACCTACTGGTCTAACAATCTGAATAGGATATGACATAAAGCTAACAAAATAGGGATATCAAAGTAATGCTAATAGCAGGAAGAATTCAAATTTAAAAACAGTAATGAAGATAAGGGGAAAATAATATTTTCAA